ACCAGTGTCCAGTTTACAAAGAGGAGGGTCAACACAGAGGAAACATTTCCTCCATGCTTCCAATCGAAGACAGCCATGGTTGAGTAGAACCTTTGACTTATCTTCACATAGATGGAACTGGTAAAAGAAAGGAGCCAGGGGCTGCTTCCAAGCCCTTGTGACCCCTGAGGAAAAAAATCCTCAAAAGGCCTTAAGAGTAAAAATAAATTTGTTTATCTGGGCTAATTGTAGGGTCTTAAACATCCAAAAGAAAAGCATAACCAAAGATTAATGGGGTCAATATAATTTTTTAAGAGTCCATATGTATAGCTAAAGGCTATATAACAAGAAACAATGCCAGAGAGGAGATACCTTCCTTTGAGTTGTTGGCCAGGGTGGCCCAAAAGACTCCCAGACAGTAACCCAGCATAGAACTGGGAAAATGAACAGCAGACCCCAATCTTATCCAAAGGAATATTGACAACTGATTGTTGCTAGATGAGGAACAGTTGATCTTCCTAAAACAAGGGTCTCTAGGTAGGCTGACTAGAATCAGCAGATGGACAAGCACTGGGGAATGGCTGGGGGAACCAACAACACAGTGGACAGTAACAGGGATGACAGAGTATATGGGCTCCAGCTGGGGCGGGGGTTAATGGGAGGGGGCCATTTGGGAAGTGGGTATATAAATGAAGAAGATTAAGTGGGATGTTCTGTATGAGATACACTCAAAAAAATCAACATATTAAAAAGAAAAGATATTTGAGGAGGAAACATAAAAACTGACTACATGTTAATTAGTCGAGGTGATAACATTACCATTGAAATCTACCTGATGACTTTATATCCATACTCAAGTGCCAAGGATCTGAGTGTAACCGACTGTGACTAGTAAAAATCAGATACATAGAGATTAAAGACACATGTTCAAACATCTAAGTGTTAGTAGCATTAAAAATGTAGGAAACAGCATATTTTAAAATGAAATGGAGAGCTTCTTTAAAGGTTAAAAACTCATTCAATTTTATGTCTCACAGGGTTTATACTGAGTTCAATATTGTATAACTGTATGAGTTCATCTGTGAACCTAAAAATTTACAGCCACTTTTGAAAGAGATGTATCCTTGCTCTGGAATGTGTTACTGAATATGTTAAAGCTGTAATGAAATTCTTCTTCTAATCAGGTGGTTATTAAATAAAAATAAATATGTAAAAAAATTTACTATCCTTTTCTCAATCATTGCTATTGCATGAACATACCATAATTGATTTAAGCCATCTTCTACTGCTGGACATTTAGACTTTCCCCAAATTTTCTGTCTTAACAGCACTGTAGTGAGTATTCCTGTAATACATTTTTGTGCACTTTTCTAGTTGATTGTCTTTGGATAATTTTCTCGAAGCAGGGATGTGGATGAAAGGCTATGTGTATTTTTACTTATTTACTTAAGTTTTTTTAATATATATTTTTATTGAATTTTTGTACATTTCATAAAATACATCTTAAACATATTTAGATCCCCCTTCCCCATATACACTCCCCCATAGCCCTGCCTGCCAGATATCATGTATTCTGTAGTATATATTAAGGTCTATTGAGTCAAGTTTATGTCCCCAGATGTCCCTTGATGTGAGTTCATCCACTGGAGCCTATTCAGCCTATCATCACCCTCTTAAAAAAGACCCCCCCCCCAACCAGCAGTGATCAGCTGACAATAATTCCGCAGCTAAGGTTGGGGCTTCTTGTCCATTTCCCCAGTTTTATGCTGGGTTTTGTCTGGTTTGGATTTGCATGGGTCTTGTGCATACTGTCACCATTGCTGTAAGTGCATATGAGTGAGTTCCCAGCTGCCAGGAATACTGTTTCCTTATGGCCATCCACCACTCCTGGCTCTTATAGTCTTTCCCCTCCCTCTTATGCAATGGTCCCTGAGCCCTGGGTGGCATGTGCCTATTACAGGAGTCCTATTCAGGGACACAAACTCTGCAGTCTCTTATTCTCTACATGTTGGCCACTTGTGGCTGTGTTAATTGCTTTGCTGGTGAGAGTTGAGAGACGCATTAGTATTCTCCTACCTCCTGTTCTCCACTATGTTCCATGAGCCTTCAGTGTAGAGTTTCCATTATAGATGAGTGATTTAGTGCTGGGCATTATCTATCTCACAGACACTTATTCTCTGTGTTTGACCACTTGTGGAACTTTGTAATTTTACAGTTTCCATCTGCTGCAAAAAGAAGCTTCTTTGATGAATAGTGAATATAAGGATACATATTTAGCATACAGTAAGAAATTAAGTTTGTTTAGAGATGTGGCAGACGTAAAGTTTTCTCTAGGATCTATGACATCTCCAGCCATGTGTATTTGGCTGTGTTTATAGTACCACACATGAGTTCTCTCCCACTGAGCTGGCTTTAAGTCCAATTAGATAGTTGTTGATTAACCACAAGATAAAAGTGCCACTACTGTACTAATAGAGATAATTTGCTGTGCCATTCATTATTGTGGTTATTATTTTTAAACCTGGGGTTAGACCACTGATTGATTTTTTTTTCCTTAGCAGCTTCCATAATATTCTCTGAAACTTTGAGGGCTAGTCTTCAGGGGGGAAGCTTCCAGATCAGTCCTAGCTCCATTGCTCCAAGTCCTGTGTCTGAAGTTTTTTGAGACAAGGTCTAACTATGTAGTCCTGGTTGGCCTGGAACTCTCTAGGAAGACCAGGGTGGACTAGATCTCACGTTGCTCTACTTGCCTCTGCCTCCTAATGCTGGGTTTAAAAGAATGCACCACCATACCCAACTAGCTATGTTTATTTTCTTTTCTACTGTTATACATGTTTGCATATTGCCAAAAGCCACAATAAGTATTCACCTTCCAATAGTACTTATCAATGCCCAGGAAGTTCTTTTCTATGTCTTCTTTTTAAATTTTAATTTATTCTGCTTCCATGCTTATAAAATAAGGAATTTGAAAATCGTCAGTAGTTCTTAAACTTTTTAGGGTCTTGGATCCTAAAAGATCCTAGAACTTGTATATGTGTGTATGTGTACATGTGAATTTGTGTGTATGTGTAGATGTGCATGTGTGTATGTATGTATGTATACATGTATATATGCACATGTGTATGGAGGCCAGAAGTCAACAGCAAGTGTCTTCTTTGATTTCAGTCCACTTTATTTCTTTTTAAATTTTTAGTTACATTTTATTTATTTTGTGTGTATTTGTGTGTGTGTGTGTGTGTGTGTGTGTGTAGATATGTGAGTGTGGGTGAGTGGGTACTCTTGTGCCACAGCATGGCTGCAGAGGTCATAGGACAACTTTCAGGAGTCAATTCTCTCTGACCCATATGGATCCTGGGGATTAAACTCAGTTCAACAGGCTTGACAGCAAGTACCCTTACATACTGAGCCATATGTGGTGAGTACCCTGACATACTGGCCTCATCCTCCTTATTTTTTTATTTTTTGGGAATTTCATTTGTGAGTATTGTAATTGCATGTTTCCATCCCTCTCACTCCCCCTCCAATTCCTCCCATGCCTCCCTACTCCTTCACAATTTCTTGTCCTTTTCTTTATTATTGTTTATATATACATACATATATTTATACATTTGCATATACAGAGTTCAGTAAGTTCACTTAGTGGTGCTCATGTGTACATGTGTTTAGGGCTACCCACTTGGGATTAGATACTCTCTCAGGGAGCTAGTCTCTGAAGAAAACTGATTCTCCCTTCCTCAGCATCCATTGATTGCCTGTAGCTCTTCATCTTAAGTTGGACCCTGAGAAATTTCTGCCATCCACATTGGCGTGTCAGCTGATTTTATCATTATGCAGATCTTGTTAGGCTATCATACTGTTGAGATTCTACCCACCTTAAATTTTCTTTATTTATTATTTTTTATGTGTATGAGTGTATTGCCTGTTTGTCACCAGGTGCACCCCTGTCATGCAATGCCTGCAGAGGTCAGAAGAGGGCATTGGATCAGATGGTTGTTAGCCACCATGTGGGTGCTGGGAATCAAACCCAGGTCCTCTGCAAGAGCAGTCAGTGCTCTTAACTACTGAGTCATCTCTTCAGCCCCTCACCCACCTTTAACAAGTTGCTTTTTATATTTATTTTATGTGTGTGAGTGTTTTGCCTGTGTGTATGTAAATGCATCATGGGAGTGCAATGCCCACAGAAGCCAGAAGAAGGTGTTGGATTCCTTGGAACTGGAGTTACAAATGGTTATGGGCTGCCATGTGGGTGCTGGGAATCAAACTCTGGTCCTCTGGAAGAAAAGCAAGTTTTCTAAACTGCTGAGCCATCTCTCCAGCTCCACACCCACCTTATTTTTTGAGACAAGATTTCTCACTGAACTTATAGCTTGCTGATTTGACAAGTTTGTCTGCCTCCTCAGTGCTCAGATTATAACTGCTTCACTCAGGGTTATTTTTTAAAGATTTATTAATTTCAGCTTTATGTGTACAAGTGGTTTTCCTGCATACATGTATGTACTCTTAAGAGATTTATTTATTTTTGCACTTGGCTTTTGTACAAGGGTGCTAGGGATTGAACTCGCGTCCTCATGCTTGCATAGGAAGCACTTGACCAACTGAGCCATTTCCTTAGGTTCCAGGTTTAGAATTTCTGATGACTACTATATAATCTGCTTTCCAGAAAAAACACATGTGCAAAGTGTTATTGTGTTTCACACATGAGGTAAACAATTTTCTACTAAGGTACATCCCAGCCCAGAATTTTTATATAGTGCTTATGTGCAGTCACAAATCCTTTGAAGTCAAATCATAGACGTTGTGATTTGATGAGCTCAACTGCAGAGTCTCTAAATGAGTTATTGTAAAGTGCTGCTTTTGCACTAACATGTGTGTCTTGCACACACATGCTACACGCTCATACACGCACAAAATTTAAACATGTTCAGAAAAACCTCAGGTCTTGCTTGATACAGAACCATTTCTCAAAGGAGCAATCACTTGAGTGTGAGTAGTTATTGAAATGAAGTCTCAATGTGTTTCAGGTTTCTCGGTGGCGAGCCCACCAGGAAGAGCTAGCAAGACTGGAAATGGAAATTGCTGCCAGAAGAAAAGAAAAGAAAGAGGAGAAGGCAGCACTGTGGAAAAAGAAGGAACTGCTGCAAAGAGAGGAGAAGAAGGAAATGGTAGAGGGTCTTCTGCTTGTGTGAATGTGTGAACTAACCGAACTAACCTAGCTCTGGTTCATCTTGGTGTTTGGCGTAGAATTTCCAGAGGCAGTTCTGAGAATATCTGTGAGAGGCTAGCGAAGTCTTGTTTTAGTTTATGCAAGCTTCAGATTTATGAACATGGAAGAGAACCCACTTCATTGACTTGCATGAGCATAGGTGTCAGTGACTAAGTACATAAAAAGATTGTATAGAAAGGAAAAGGCATGGGTGTGCTAGTGCATGCCCTTAATCCCAGCACTTGGAGGCAGTCAGGTGGATCTCTGTGAGTTCAAGGCCAGCCTGGTCTACATAGTGAGCTCTAGGCCAGCTAGGGCTACAGGGAGACCCTGTCTCAAAAAAGAAAAACAAAGAAAGGAAAAGGCACCATTTGTGACTATTGTTACCCTTGGACTGAGAAGGAATATGATAGAGCTTCCGGGGTTACTGGGAGAGCATTTTGGTTTACAATAATGTGGCAAGTGATTGCTGGAAAGGTATTTGTTGGCAGAACAAATTGTATAGGGACAGTGTATAATTCATGGAATGCCAAACAATCTTTTAAAGAGTTTACTTCTTGATTTATTTTTTGTTAGAAGGCTTTGTTTTTCACTTACACAAATTTATATTCATTTTTGGAGCAAACACTTGTTTCTCAGTCTTAAAAATATTCCCCCCAAATCTTACTAACAAAGTGATTTCTGATAATCTACAAAAGATAGAATATACTTGAGGGTTGCTTTCATTACTTTAAAAATACAGTATTTAGGCATTTTTGATTGTTCCACAATAAAACTTATAGAACTTGCAGTAAAGATATTTTTGTTAGGAATTCTAACAGAGTTATTGACCAACTTTTTAGGGAGTTGCTGACTCTGGAAATCATTCACAAACAGGTAGTTAACTTGTGATCATCACAGTGAAAGGAAATCAATACACCTATGTAGTTTTTGCCAGTGCATATCAGGATCGAGAAAGTTCACCTGTATTGACTTGATCTGCATGATGTAAAAAATGATTTTTTAAAAAGCTGCTTGCAGTGCTAAGAATGACATTAACCCATGGCTGTTGGCAGGCCACCTTTTGTGCTTGTGATCATGGCTCACATTTTGGGCTATGTGACTAATGAAGTTCATCAAGCCATTGTCTGGGGATTTTTCCTTCAAAGTTGAACCTTGGGGGATAAAGAAACTACAGACTTCCCAGCTATAAGCCAGTTTCTTTGAATTTTTTATTCTTATTGATCTTGATTTGTTGTATGCCTTTTCATTGGCAAGCTGAGCGAGAGGCAGTGTGTGTGTACAAGAAAGCATACATAGTTCTATGATCATTTGACAAAATTAACTCCTAAGAAGTTGGTTTCACTGCTCTTATATTTTAATTTAAAAATCGAATTCCATTTCTGCTCCTAAAGAAGTAAATTGGGTGCTTTCATCAGGCCCCCCAAGATGGCTAAAAGGAATATCTGCATGTATCTCAAAAACTAATAAAACTGATCATGTTTCAAATCATGTAAGCTATGTATCTTTGCAGAGCAACTTACCAGATATTTACTATCATGAAATGCAGCATTTGAGTAGTGCATCCCTGTACTTTGGTCTTCTGCCTAGGCTGCCCTTGCAGGACTTCTTCTCTATGAGAAGGGTGACCACAGAAAGTATTGCATATCTGAGTATTAGTTCACACTTAGTATCATCTCAAATGTCATGTAAAGATACTTACATGCAGTTCTAATCTCTGAGGGTTTACAAAGACCAAGAAAATACACAAATTAAATAACTCAAGTATTGAGAATGGGAGTGAGCACATTTAATTGTGGAAATTAGATTTGAGTTGGGTAGTTGGCATGGATACTCAGAAGAAGATGGCAAGACATTGCTGCTTTCTTTGTAGTCAGCAAATGTGATTTCCAGAAGTAAGGGAACGGCATTTTAAAGCTAGGCAGGAAAGACTTCCTGAGTTTACAGAGAAGAGGTATTTGGCTTTAGAAACACACAAGTGGGCAAACAAACACAAAGAGAGTAATGGCGTATAACTTGGCAACTACAATGGCCAAGGTGATGGCAGAGCTAATTCAAGTACGGCTTAAAAGAGGAAGGCCCTGTGAAGGCCAGGGAGAATTTCAATACCATTAATTGTGTGTAAATTATACCTAAATAGCCTTTCACATTTTAGAATGTAAGATTGAGCCTATGCCTAGGAGCATTAGGAAAGTAGATGTTGAAAAAAGATACCCAAATGTCCATATGGGGCTCCAGTTGCATTTTGCTAAGCTATCTACAGCATGCTACTTCATGATCTTGCCCATGACAGTGAGGGATAGCATAAGAAACTGAGCTACCAAGTGTCCCATGTGTACCAAGGAAAGGGGACATTACAGCATTTCAGCAAGTGCCAAGATTTGTTTTGAACCATCAGCAATTGTGTAGGAATAGGGTATCTGGTTTATTTTACTTATTTTCTTCTTATAATAATTTTCATGTACAAAATATTTTAAAATACAGTGGTTAATACACATGTTAGCACCTGTCATCTGGCAGCGAAAAATTTTAATATGCTTCGTGTTGTCTCACATTTTCAGAAAATTAAGTAAAAGATTACAGATAAAGTTGAAATTATTTTTTGAGGCCTTAATTAGTACCTGCTTTCCTAATCCCCCTAGAGGTTGTATTTCTGCCATCCCAGGGCATATATTGACATTAAAACATTTTAATATAGTTTGTGATTTAATTTTTTTTCATGAGTGCTTCATGCCATAGCACTCTGCAACACCCACTTTTCCTTCCACCTTGTGTTTTAAATTATTCCCATGTTAATCTATTTGGAGCACAGCTGGTTTATTCCTTTTAATTGCTAGTTAGTGTTACAGAGTAGACAAAGAAGACCACTTCTCCATTCTTCATGGCTGACACTTCAGTCTGCAAATTTTATTTTGCCCAGTGTGCTGCCACACACTGTGCACACACCCTCTGGTGCATGCATCCAGAGCTTTCTGTAGGTACTTCTAGGGATGAAATCAATATGCTCTGGGTGTGTTTCCAATTTTACATGGTTTCTTTATTTTATATAATATAATTATGTTTTTTTTTTTGAATTCTGCCAATCTGATA